ATATTAGTATAGATATGTATGTATTTAAAGTTATATATGTGTAGTGTATCAACTATCTGGTATCCTTATGGATATCCTTGTGTTATCACAAGCCTCGTAGCTTACCATGGAACTAGATGGTGCTATGTGTTAAAGTCCCAACATATTTATTTACGGTTACTCTTCATAAAGGAACTTATAAGTATAACATTAACCATGCAAACTTAAAAATTGGGAAAGGTGATGAGTATATAATACGAATAATTTTCATCATCATCTTTTCTCTAATCGTCTGACGTCTGCGTGCAAACGTGAAACGTGAAGCTATTAAGCAATTCACTTTCAAACAGTTCCCGTTATAAATATTTTACACGGTATTCTCATAAATCTCAAACGTACCATACAAGCCAAGACAATGTAACATATTAATTTTTCATATCTCTCCCCATCCTCGCGTCAGAACCCTTGTATTTTCTATACTCGTATATTCCATACTTTTTAGGCCAAGAAAATTCGGTGCCAAAAAAAACATTTAGAATTTCACACACGCGTCTCATTCAAAAGCTTGAAATTACTTCTTTGTTTCTCATATCGTGTGTAAAAGTCATATAAGAAATATGAGAAACGTAAATGTGGAGGTGGAGTCTCGTGAAATCAAGTTGATGTAGCGAATGATAAATCTGTTGTGATAGTCCATATGTTTCGTTGTTTACGAAAATATGTGTAAGGTACATAATAAATATCATGTCTGCCTTTTTTATTTTTGTTTATCTATATAATACTAGCAGAACCCGCGGCTTCGCTCGCGCTAAAACTACAAAAAAGGTAGATTTTATACAAATTTTAGCCCGTTTCATCATCCCCTATTTTACTCCCTTATGAGAATCTGAATTCCGAAAAATGCTAAAACATTAATTTATTTAATTGTATTGAAGAGCATTAATACCAAGTTTCAAGTAATTTTGATCATAAATAGTTTTTTGGGTTAGATTATAACGTGTTTTCCCGTGGGAATTAGACAATGTCCCACGGTAAAAAGTAGCTTATGTGACTCTCCAGCCCTCCAACTATCTCCACTCAAAAAATCACGCCAATCTGTTACTCTGTTCCGATGAGAAAGAAGGCAAACGAACAAGCACACTTTCACATTTGTAATATTGTCATAGAATACTAGCGACTCATCCTTGCTCGGATTCTTCCCTAGCTTGATTCCCCATACAAATTTTCATCCCCATTTTCGCCCCTTTAAGGGATGACTTCCGAGATAAAAAGTATCTTATGTCCTTTCCAGGGACGCAAACTATCTTCTTACCAAATTTCATCTAAATCGATTAAGTAGATCCAGAGATTACCCCCTTTTTTTTTAACGTTGGGAAATGCATTTACGCACGAGGTGTGGGACTCACCGGCAAAGCCAGTACTACCCACTAAAACCCAACAAAACCTTCCCCCGTCTTAATGGGGCGTCGCAGGATCGCTTACGCATTCAACTACGACGCCCCGACGGCAGGTCTGCCGAAGCAGACCACAACAACCACGGGGTTGCTCCACAGAACACTCTGCTATCAGAGAAGTACCAGGAGCAACCCGCATGGTACACTGCCCTCCGAAGAGGGCCACCTCCCACCGCCCACCGAAGTGGGCCACCTCCCTGTGCGTTTCTTGGCTTCGCGCCCGGTTGGGTTGCCGGGCACTACTGAGCCCCCCCACCACGACAAGGCGAACTCACGTTGGGGGGGCAGAGATTACCCCCGACAACGTCACAAACTCACAATCTCACAAACTTTACCTCTATATAATATAAGGATTTTTTCGTCATACTTATATAGTAATACCTACTTTTCTCAATTGCAGTTAAACATATTATAAATCTGCAAGTAAAGCCATTTGTATCGGAATAAAAATAGCCTACACAGTACTTGGCGGTAATATAGCTTCCTATTAGTGAAAGAATTTTCAGAATCGTACCAGTTTCAGACATTACCCCATTCATAGAAACTTACAAACTTTATCTATACATATAATAAAATTCTGAGTCGAGTCTGGACAGTAAATATTTAAAAATAATCTTATTGAAATAGTAATTATTAATTATCGATCCAGAGGCCGAATCTATAGTTTTTAGAACTTTTCTGTCTGGGAACGTATCACGAGAAACCCACTGGACAGATTTGGATAAAATTTAGTATGATGATAGCTGGTTATTCAGGTCAATACATAGGATATTTTTAGTGCGTGTTTACGTTGAAACGTAACTAGGGACGAACCCGAGAGAAGCGAGATTGAGTCGCTAGTCTCTTTATAATATTAGTATAGGTTGATGTGAGTGAAATTTCAAATTTGGCAAATTTTAATGTTAGATTAGTAGTGACATTTAACCGAGTCTATTGGCATAAACATGATGACAAGCTACAATCGTTATCGCTTTTAGATATAACTATCTATACGGAAATAGTATACGAGTATTATGACTTAAACATAACAAGTAGAAATGTCATTTCCATACTGTTTTTATTACTTTTCAATTAGCGTTATCGATTGTAGAATTTTATCTTGCATTGCGTTCATGTAACTGTAACTAGTATAAATAGCTGAACGAAGAAGACTTATGGCCGATTTCACCAACGTCACCTAAGTTTAAGGGATCCCCTAAGCATGTTTAGGGGACTGCTAGGGGACAGTTTCTGTTTCACCGACAGTTAGGGGTCACCTAAATGTTAAAATGCCACCTAAATATTGGTACTAGAAATACGGGCTCTGACGATGGTAAAACGAAATTTAATTTAGGGGCTAGTTTAGGGGAACTTTTAAGCTAGGGATCCCATACGTAGGTGGTAGGTTATGGGTTGTTGGTGAAATCGGGCATTAGTTTACTATATTTTTTTAACCGACTTCCAAAAAGGACGAGGTTCTCAATTCGTTGGAATCTTTTTTTTATGTATGTTCACCGATTACTCGCAGACGCCTGAACCGATTTGGATTTTTTCTTGTTTTCTTTGGTCCCATATAAAATTTTTCGAAATCGGTCGAGCATTTTTCTTTTGAAAATCAACAATAAACTATTTTTTTAAATAAATTGTTTAATCGAATATGTTATTTAATAACTTTCTTCTTACAAATTACCTGCTTATTACGTCTACACTAAAAATGGACAAATAAAAACTAAAAAAACCGACTTCCAGGCACTAAAATGTAAAAAACACAATATTTTCATTTATAATAGATACCTAATCAGATATTTTGGAAGTCAGTGCCAGAAAACGATATTTTAAGATATGAATCTCCAATATGTAAATATGATTAGGTATGAACTCTAATATAGTTAAAATATTATACCACCAATTTATGATGTATTTTACGTATTGAAATATTTCTAATGTAGATTTGCTTTTGCATCGGTCATCACCGACTTCGATATATGTATATATGTACATATATACAAGAAGTATTAAACCAAGATTTTCGCTGTTATAAGTCATTTAAAACATATAAGAAAATAATAACAAAGCGAAATCTAAACATGAAAAATATTTAATTAGCAATAACTGTTATGTATTATATACAGAATACAGACCCCAAATAATGATCGTTGAAATGTATGTCTGTAGTACATCTGTTTGCTCTTCTCGAAAAAGCACTGAACGGATTGTGATTTTTTGTATAGCGATATAATTTATTACTCGGGTCAACATTTAGGATACCCTTTCCTGCAGGAAAATCTTTCATTCCCATGGGAAAACATAATAAATATTTCTACTCATTGACTAAATGAATTGTTTGTTTGTGGAAACTTTATTGGTGTATTTACTATTATTATTGTCATTTGTTGTTTGTGTTGTAGCACTGTATTTCCCTAATCCATACTAATATTATAAATGTGAGAGTCTGTTTATGTGTTTGTTTGTCTTTCTTTCACGTCTAAACGGAGTGATGGATTGGCGAGATTTTTGCTGTGAAGGTAGTCGGAGAGCTGGAGAGTGTCATAGGCTACTTTTTATCGCGGGAGATCACCTGATTCCCACGGGAAAACACGTTATAATACAATCCAAAAAATTATTTCTGGTCAGAATTACTTGAAACTCGGTATTAATGCTCTTCAATACAAATAAATAAATACGCGTTTTAGCATTTTTCGAAATTCATCCTATAAGGGGGTAAATAGGGGATGAATGTTTGTATAAAACCTGTGTAGGTAACCTATCTTTTTAGAGATTTTTTTGTAGTTTTAGTTCAAGCAAAGCCGCGGATTCTGCTAGTAAATAAAATAAAAATAAAGTTACTGGTACGTCTTAGTTGTTCTTGATACAAAAATATTTTTATATTATTAATTACTTATAACACAAAAACTAGCTATTAGTATTAATTAAAGGCTTAACCTTTAATGTATTAAATAATTAAGTGCAGTAAAATCTCTAACTATTATCATGGGAAAATGCAAATAGAGACATTAAAACAATGTACTACAAAATCGTAGGCCTTAAAAAGACCTACAGAAATGTCTGGGACAACGAATGCCTATCTCCTAAGGTACATTCACGATAACTATTTTTATCTATTTAAAACGTACGTGCGTCGTTAATTACAAACGAAAAAGAAGAAAATTGTATAATTTAAAATGTCTAATATTCGTGTATATCATGGACGAATTAAGATAAATATTGTTGGGCCCCTAATAAAACTTCGACATTTTCCTTGCTTATATTCTTATATTCAGTATTTTTATAAACGTCAGTGAGTTACATAATTTATAATCATAATTTTTAGTATTACAAACAATTCTTAGTATCCCACATGGTGGTACCGACATCTCTGTCCAAAGCGCGGGAAAACAAATGAATATTCGCACCCTTTATATTTTTTTTTAAAACACATTCCTATCGGCCAAGGTCACATAAGTGAATGCCTTATACATAAATCATTACAAATTAATCAAATATATTATTTTCTATTAAAACACTTAATTTATAAAAATGCAACCTCACAATATAATAAATAATTTCTTTGTCTGTCTTTATCAACAGCTAGCGCCGAGCCACGCGGGCCACGGAGTTTTGGTCGGCGGGGGCGTGTTACAGCAACCTCCCACACATCATTTGCTCACACAGAATTCTATATTAGGTTTGTAGTTTCAACACGTATTTATTAGCTTCGCTTGTCAACTAACTACGAGTATAAGTATATTAAATGAAAATATTATTTCGTTTATATTTTACACTAGCGACGGTGATTCTTGAAATTGACATAACTGTTTTATTTATCAACCGATTGAAATAAAACAAACACTAAATGTTAAGTGACGCTTACCATAATACATTAGTGAAAACCGCAACTAAATCGGTTGAGCCGTTTCTAGGATTAGCGCTCACAAACGCACAGGCAAACAGACAAAAAACTAAAAATCATTAATCAAGTGTAGTAACAAATCAAGAGTAGTTTATCTCAAATATCTTCCATGTGCAGACAATGATTAGTTACATTTTTAATATATGTTTAGATTTTTGTTCTCGACGTTTCGACAGCAAAAACTATCATCAATCAGCGACAAAATTAGAAAAGATAGTTTCATCGAATTTCAAGTACTCGCTTAAATCTAACAAAGCATCGAACTAATTTACCTACTAATTTATCAATCAACTAACAATATGTTTGACGATTACATAATCGAATCTGGAAAGTCGATTTTAAATTACTTAATTTTAATTTCCTTACTTTATAATAAGCTTCCACAAACTTTACGATTTACCTTTTAAGAAATTTAAATATAAAATTAAGAATATTTTATTGAGCAAAGCGTATTATACTGTTCAAGATTTTCTTGTTGATGGAAATGTGTGGAATTAATATATATTGACTCATATGCAGGCTATCTATGTTGTTATGTTCATAAAATAAATGTAACCTCTATATTTAAAAGAGCAACTGTTGAGTTTCTCGCCGGCTCTTCTCAGCAGAACTGCTTCCCGAGCCGGTGGTAGCTTCCTCACTGACTGACTACACTCACGCTAACATTAAATTGACGATTCAAAAGTTTTATTTCATTTCACTTATTAATGATTTTTCATAGATTTCGTTATTAATATTTTATGAGGTTCTATTATTTTATTATGTGTATGTAATGTATTTTGTTAGAGTATTTTACATACATTTAAAAAAATATAATAGCCATATTAAAAAAGATTTTTTTTTACATATAAAAATTGTATGTCAATGTTTTTTTGTCTGTTTTTTTTAAGCGGCTTACCTCTGCTGAAATTTTACACTTCGCCACTGGTGCCTAGCTACCTAACATACTAATTGTCATACTCACTAACTAACTAACTAACCCAGGGGGAGGTGATATCCTCGGTCTAAGCAGCCCAGTGCTAGGAGGGATGTTGCACGCTCATCCCGCTCTACGCGGCGTGAAGCCGGCCGCCGTGCACGCTCTCGCCACGCAAGGTCGGTACGTTTTCATTTGTATTGTAGCTTATTTTTGAATATTTCATCCAGTTACGGATGTGATATTAAAATTATCGGACAACGCCATGAAAATGTATGCTAGATGAAAACGAATTAGAGATAAGTCACCTGTGTGTGTGTGTGTGTGTGTGTGTGTGTACGTGCGTTCGCGCGCATGTGTGTGTGTGTTGTGCCAAATTACGTCGCTACCTTCACAAACAGCACCTTGCAACGCACCAGAGCGAAGCGAGGGTAAATCAGTAGAAAACGATTAAAATCATAAAAATTGTAATGTTTCTCTCATATATACATTTGTTTATTGTTGTAGATTTTTTTTCGGCAAACCCCATTTTCCTGAACTCGTGAACATGTCCTTTGACACGGTGACTTTTATTCATCTTAACTATGAAAATTAGGTAGATTAATATACAACTACAGCATCTATTAATCAACGAGGACAGATGGAATGAAAAATAATTTAATATAATAATTTGAAACAACGGGTATCAGAAATAGAAACAAAAATATGCGTTTATGTTTTATTTACTTGGTATGAAATTGAATAATTACATATAGCAAGTAGATGGTGTAGCGACAATGCTGTAAATTATCCATTGTTCATTGTCGGGACAATGACATAAGGAAGTTCTAAAAACCAAGGAAAGCCTATTAAGTTTAATGGTTGTATTTCACCATAGATTTCACTCGCGGCTTCTCTTGCGTATGCCAACAAAAGCCTATATGAATATCCATACATATAATACCTTGAATATTAATTACAAACGTGAAAGTGTGTTTGTTTGTCTATCATTCACGTCGAAGCGGCTTGGTGGATTGGCATATTTTTTTCTGTGGAGATAGTTAGAGGGCTGGAAAGTGACATAGGCTACTTTTTTTCGCGGGAGATTATCTCTTTCCCACGGGAAAACACGTTATAATACAATCCAAAAAAATATCAAAATTACTTGAACTATAAATGCTCTTCAATACAATTAATTAAATACATGTTTTAGCATTTTTCGAAATTCATCGCATAAGGGGGTAAAATAGCAGATGAAAGTTTGTATTAAACCTCCCATTTTAGAAGGTTTATTTGTAGTTTTAGCGCGAGCGAAGCCGCGGTTCCTGCTAGTAAATCATCACACAAATGAATGTCCCCAACGGGACTCGAACACGCGATCGCTAGCACAGCAAGCAGGGTCATTACAAACTGAGTCAAACGTGTCGTATATGAAATAAGCTATCTCCTTTTCGTATTTTACTAAAATCCATTCAGCCGTTACAGCTTGAAGATAGTAAAGATGATAGTTTTAAATGTCGTTCTAAGTTCGGATTTTGTCGCAGCTTTATTTTATGTAGTCCCCGACGCTTCGAATGCTTTACAACAATCATGTTCGTGAGGGAGAACTAAGGTTTTAAACGTCTCAAAGGCCTTTATATAGTTGTTAAGACGGCATCTACCCACAAAATTCTGCATATACATATATTCACGTAAATCTAAGAAAGTATGGAGTTGATAATATATCATCATCTCCACCAAATTTTGGTATTTATAATATTATAGTGATTTGTTTATGTATAATATTAATAATTAGAAAATATGATATAAAACAATATGGCGATGCTTGAAATAAATTTGCGAAATTCCTTCTCCACTCCTAGCGAAATAAATTAGGGCTTAATAATATATAATTTTGATGAAATGATATCAAAGGCATAAATAAGGTTTTAGAAAACATATTTATTAGAGAATAATTAATTGACATTATACTCGTATTATATGTAAAACCTAATGACAAGTGACACTAATATAAAATAGTTCTTATATTGAAGCGTGAAGGCGTCCATACTTTCATCAGACATTTTGTAAAAAACTTTATTCTCCATATAAATAAATATTTTTATGGATATGAATTCATAAATACCAATATTCGAGAAAATATTTATTTCTCGTAATAGCTAGCGACTCACCCTTGCTTCGCTAGAGTTCGTCCTTACGTACGTTTTTACGGTTAATATGAAATAGATAGTTACTTTCCAGCTCTCCAGACGAAAAACCATGTCAATTCGTCATTTATAATTTTAAATATGGATTATAGATTCATAAGTAACACTTAAGAATAATAACCTTCCATTAGATTTAGTAAATATGCAACACTCAATTTTTAGACTAGATATTGTGTTCGCTATAGACCCACCCACTGTCTCCAATTTCATGAAAATAAAAATAAAGTGCTGAAGCCAAAAAATAATGGATATTCTCAAACAATAGGACGAGGCTTTTATACGTTTTTGTTTCAAAAAGGTCCCTCGGAACATGGCATTTTATCTCGTTTTTATCAATATAGCTTTATACTTTAAAATATTGTAACATCATTAACGATGTTACGAAAAAAGTTAAAGCCGCAGATCTTCTATACATATAATAAAATTGTAACTAAGCCGAATCTGTACATTAAATATTTTTTGGAAAATCTTATTGAAATAGACTTTATTATCGATACAGACGCCGAATCTATAGTTTTTAGATTTTTTGTCTGTCTCTCTGTGTGTCTGTCTGTCTGTTACCGTATCACAGAAAAACCACTGAAGGGATTTTGATGAAATTTGGTATGATGATAGCTGGTTATCCGGGTCAACATATAGGATACTTTTTACCGCGGGAAAATATCTCATTTTTGAGAAAAAATACAAAAACTGCAATTTAAGAATATACTAATATGTAAAACCTAAGAATTTGGTTTTTGATTATCTGAACGCGGGCGGAGCCGCGGGCAATGCTAGTTATCAATATAGCTTTATATTGTAAAATTTTGTAGCATCATTAACGTTGTTACGAAAAACAGTTTAAGCCGCAGATCTTAATAGCGTATAATATTTCTAAATATAACAAAGCTATTTCTAACCGTCTGTTTGTGGGTTCTTTGAACTAGATAATAATGTTTGATGCGGCTTTTATCAAAGTATTTTTTTTTTGACTCATCTGTATAATAAATTTAAATTATACCTTGATAAGAATAATGCAATTTATGTCCTTGCACAAAGTCATGAAAATCAGTTTAGTAGTTTAAGCATAAAAAGGTCAGAAACATACAGACATTTCTTTCATATTTATGATATGGATGGATTATTAGGGTATGAGCAACGACAGGGTGGATTACTAGTTTATATCTATAGTCTGTTCCCATGGCTTCATATATTTTGCTTTTCAAAGTATATATATCTATCTTAATTGTTAAGATATTGTTCTAATATAAAATATCATGCCGCTATTACTTAATAAGTTTATACTTTTAAGCATTTAAAGATTTTTTCAGTTCCTCGCTAATTTTTAAGGGAAAATATTAATGTCTGTGTTTCTTGAATACTTCTTGTATTTAAATTTACTACAGTTTATTGATTTTTTTTTTTTGAAATTTCATCACTTTTATAGCTTTAGTAAATAAAATACATACATAAAACCTTAATTAACGTAATTTAAAAATATAAAATGATGCCGCCCAACGTGGGGCTCGAACCCACGACCCTTCTCATGCTCTACCGACTGAGCTAGCCGGACTTAAAATAGCCATGTAAAATAATTTTATATATGAAATGCATGTGTTTAAATGCCATAATAATTCTACCTGTTCTTCGAAATAACATGAAAGGTTTGCTTATGAAACCAATATTTTAAAAGTGAAAATTTAAAGATTTGGCATTGTATAGTTTCAAGTTAAGTTAATTTCATGGAAAAAAAATATGAAAAAATTGCTGTGAGTGAAAGATGGTGGTGAGCGTTATTAATATGTAATTTTACATATATCTACATATTCAAACTTTGAACTAAAGATCTTATACAATAATATCACAACCATATTAAAATACACATACTGATACATAAACCGTGATGTTAGCTGTAAAACATTCGAAACTTCGGGAACAAAAAATTTATTTAAAAATGAAACCGTGAAAACATTGTACATTTCTAGTTTTATTTCAAAAGTTTAATATTTGCTGACAGTGGTAGTCCAATGGTAACGTACACGCTTCGAAAACCAAGTGAAATGGATTCAAATCCCGTGTCCCGCACCGCTGATATTTTCATGTTTGAGTCATTTTTTATATGGTTCCAACTTATCTTATGGTGAAAGAAAACATCACGAGGAAACATGCATTAAGCCTAACAAGTTTCGAAAGATATATGAAATCCGCTAACCCGCACTTGGCCAGCGTGGTGGACTATGGCCTGCCGCCTGATGCCTCTCATATTGAATGGATGCCCGTGCCCAGCAGTTGGACGTTCAAAAAGGCCTGAATACAATTTTCGCGTAAATCTAAGCAAGAATCATTATTTACTTTATCAAACATCTGTTTTTGCTATATATAACTAAAAACTTCATAATACGCCTTCATCTTCAACTTCATAGCCACTTCAGTTGAGCTACTAAACTTAATATTTTAGCCAAACTTTAAATTCCTTAGTCGAGTTAAATTAGCTTTTAAAAATGAATTTAACCAGACCTTACTCTTATAGTTCAATTCTTAAACTGACATATTGCAAGGCGCTCATTGGGCTTAGTGAGGTGGAATGATTTATTATACATCAGCTCAATGCTACCAACAAACAATAATTGCTATTTATTATTTGATTGATTTTTTTATTTTTATGTGTGCGCGTGTGTGTAAATTTTACGCATATAAGTATGTATGTATGTATGTATGTATGTATGTATGTATGTATGTATGTATGTATGTATGTATGTATCTATATATGCATTTATATGTATTATGTATCTATTCATCTATAAGTATTTATATAATATGTAAACGTGTCAAAGCAAGTATACCGCCTACCGTTTTAATGAGTACTTACTCCTCCACCTCAAGGTTGCCTGGAAGAGATCGCTTCCAGCGATAAGGCCGCCTGCTGTGCATCTTTTCTTTATGTTGTTTTTTTTTATTTCATATTTATTTTTGGTGTACAATAAAGAATATTATTATTATTATTAAAATTATTA